CTGGGAGGAGAAGGGAGAACGGTGAAGCTGGAGGGGGCAAAGCGTAAACCACCACCATAGTCAAACGCTATCTATAAACGGCATGTGTGAACGTTCCAAAGCTATATCTCCATAAAAAGAAGAGGTATGGAAACAAAGTAAAGTTTGAGTGTGGCGTGGATGCCGCACGCTAATTTTAGATGTAATTTTTATCGCGAGTTGCAGGTAATATATCATCGGTAAAATTAGGCTAAGCAAATCGTTGAATTTCACGTGTTTTGGAGTGTTCCATGACTCCTCGCTATATTATCTACTCGCTGATTGTATCATAGCCTTGTAGCATACGTACCTTTATATGCACACCTGTATCGTACCATTGAACATAACCTTGTATCATACGCTTATATCATACGGCTTATATCATACCTTAATATCGATACCATTAATTTGTATCATACCTTAATTTGTATCATACTTTATATCATACTTGTATCATACGCTTTTATACTCAATACTTGTATCAATACCTGATTATTATGCATAAGCCTGCGTTCAGCACGGAGGAGTTTAGTTGCGTGTAAGGCAGAGCGCTAAAGAATATAGCGCGGGCTTCTTAGGGTCGTCGACAGCTTTAGCGGCGAATGCTCGCGGCTTTGCTTAACGCGAAAAATCATATTGCCGGCGCCTAATAAGGGGGCGAGAGCCCCGCCCCCGCCCGCCCCCCCCCCCCCCCCCCGCCCGCGCCCCCGCGCCCCCCCCCCCTCCCCCCCCCCCGCCCCCCCCCCCCCCCCGCGCCGCCGCCGCCCGCCCCCCCCCCCCCCCCGCCGCCCCCCCCCCGCCCCCCCCCCCGCCCCCCGCCCCCCCCCCGCCCCCCCCCCCCCCCCCCGCCCCCCCCCCCCCCCCCGCCCGCCCCCCCCCCTCCCCCGCCCCCCGCCCCCCCCCGCCCCCCCCCCCGCCGCCCCCCCCCCCCCCCCGCCCGCCCCGCCCCCCCGGCACCACGGCTGGCCGCGTGGTATGATTGGTCGGTGTGAACGCTATTGAGATAGGAGCGGGTGTTGTTCGAGGCATTGGTGAAGCGGCATTGTTCGTGTGAGAGTGTGGAAGGATGCTGTTGTAGCAGCTCTAAGTTATACCTATGCGGACTGGGCTCACCACCGTGTGCGCTGCACGACGTTAGGGTAGGCGTGTGGAAGGCTGTCGACGGTAGCGCAGTCTTATAGTTATACGAGCTAGCTAGCGCTCGAAATGCTCCGGTGGATCTCGGTGTGAACGCGATTTTTAAGCCGGACCTTAGCCACAACTAAGTAACGGTACCGAGCTAAGCCGTGTAAAATGACGTGTGAACGGTAGCTTATACCTAAATTGGTAGTCATAGCCATTGGTATCATACGCTTTGGTACGCCGGTACGTATCATATGGTTATGGCGAGGCTATGAGGGGCGAAAGCAGCTATTTATTTACCGGTATCGTTTGGGGCCATGTTGGGCAATTCATAATCCTCAAAATATTTAGCGTATCAGTAGCGTTACGGAGTTAGTTAAACGGGCACCGCTATACTATTTTTACCAGGCAAAATAAAGAACTGCAGAACATTTCAATCTATAATCATAACGTACTATCACGAACAATAATATATGTATTCAATATATGATATTCTCTAGCGCGGCTGCTGGAAGATCCGGGCTGTAATGCAATTGGGGCCGACATGGTAAAAATGTCATCGAGTCAATACCCTAACGAATATTCAATATTGAAACTGCGGCATAGCATGCATTCAGATACCGACCGTTAAAAATATGCCTAGCATACAGCGACACGCGCACGTACGTCCTCTGGGGGTTTTTTCCCCCCCCCCCCGCGCAGTGTTCGTGTGCTATAACAATACCGTGTCTTGAATCGCCGAACATGCTTGCGGTCAAAGCAAAG